AAAACCTCGTAATCGAGTGTAAAATGCTTTTAAATTCCTTCACGGGGAAGTGAATAAATGCTCTCTTTTCGTAACCACTATTTGTCGTTCTGATCGAAATCCTACTGTTATATGTTTAGATAATCTTTACGCATTGGACATTGCAGAAATTATTTTGTGACATTCTTTGTTTGTCCACACGTAGGCGCGTTATGGGGGAATCTGGCAACATGCATATCATCGGGGAACACGTCCTCAGACCTGTTGTGAGTTGTCGCGGATTCGATTAACAAAGCGAGAAATGGTACAAAATGATCAGCCAAAAAAGTTCTTGTCACTTCAGCAGGCTCATCCCTCGACAAATATTCTAGTGGAGTCAAGTATCACTGAAGAGCATAAAAGCTGAAGGCATCTTTGCAGCACCTGTTCTGTGGTCTGCTTATCAACAAGTCTGTAGATACGCCCACTCACATGGAGAGATATGAAATGTAGAAAATACTCATGCTACACATTTTAATGATTTTTTTGAGGCAAGCGTCACGTGTTGGATCTACGCTCTCATCGATTCACCAATAGGATTTACCTACGATGCGAAAATTGATCTCTACCTTTTGGACAGAGATGTGAGCAACAAAGGATGCCCATTGGCGGCGAAAACGTTCCCAGTGTCTACATAAGGCTCGCCCGAATGATAAAAAAATTAGATATGGCAAAAAATTGCATTCGGTTGCTTTCATTGATATGTTGTGTCGAGTAAATGCGACTTGTTGCTTTGTTCTTTTCTGTATCTTTCCTCAATGTCCTAATCGCCCTGAAGTTTGGCAAACTGCTATCTCAAAATTCTCCACAAAAAAGAAAGACTTCGAGTACAAGAGGAACAAGGCTGAAAAGGCAAAAAGGCAGAGGTGGGCTTCTCTGCGACAACTCTGTGCTTGTTCCAAATAACAGCCAACACTTACGGTGAGCATTTTTTGTGAAAAAGCGTAGAAGGATGTCGGCCAACAAATTCAGACATCAGTGACTGAATTCTTTGACAAAGGTGACAAGCTATCATTATTCAGCGGTCGTCCAAGGGTTTAAATTGTGGTCGGATCACGTTTTAGGCAAAAGGATTTACTTCACAAGTATGCTGGGTTGTGAACAAAACTTTCGCCCCAGGCGGGACTAGAACCCGCACCTCTCGCTTTCCGGGCAAGTGCGCTACCAGTTACGCTACCGGGGCACCATTTCATTCCAACTCAGCTTTTCATGGTATATAGCTTTCAGCACTCACACGTATAACGTGTTGAGCCGGTTAGCCGATATCGGCAATGACCGCGAGGCTGAAAGCTTTAGCATGGATTTTGACTTGTTTTTGTTGTTAACACATTCACGCCGATGGTCGCCGGTATGGGCTGCCAACAACATGCGCTCCTGAGACGATGGCAATGATAATCGTTTGTCAGGCGCTAGGAATGGACAGATAGGTGAGCAAACCTCATAGTCGAGTGTAAAATGCTTTTAAATTCCTTCACGGCGGAAAGGTGATATGATATGCTCTATTTTTCGTATACCACTATTGTCGTTGACTAGAATCAAAATTTACTGTTATGATGTGAGATATACAGAATTGAAAGCACTGACGCAGAAATGATTTCGTGACATTTCATGAATTTTGTTCATTACAAACAATCTGCGGTGGTGTGTTGTTGAGATAAGCGGCGCCCATACAATCGCGTCCGTCCCACGCGACCGAAAAGCGGAAAAGGGGCGTCGACGTGAATGTGTTAGCTGTTGTTTTTGGCCGCAGGTCGCCTTGCGAATGTTTCACAAGTATGCTGAGCTGTGAACAAAACTTTCACTCCAGGAGTTATAAGAACCCGAACAAGTTGACGGCCTACCAAGACGCCACCGGGGCACTAATCAATCCCGTCTGAATCCCGCAGTTAACAAACAAAAGGATATACTGTTGTGCGCTTATCATTACATACCTCTGCGTAGTCTGCATACCCTCATATAAAATAAAACAACAAGGTTGTACAAGCGAAAAAAGCAATGAATTGTTCTGTTAGCGGAGATCAGCAATTTTTTCTTTCCTTTCGATTCTACAATTCTACCGCTGCTCGGTTGGTTGGAGCTTGCAGGCTGCAGCCACTGTGTCCTGCTTGGCAGCTGAGTTCATGAATAAGAAATATAAATGAGGTAAGGACGATCAGAACAGTGCGCAGTACAAGATCTGCTCTGGAGAAAGAGCAAAAAGAACTCTTGCATCTCTCGTCGTGTTGGCGCGAGCACGACGCCTTGTCTAAGGATTTTCAACCTCTAGCAATACTTTACCGTACAATATTTCACTTGCCGAATAATGTCCTCTAAATTAGCAAAGAGACCCTTAAACTTTTGCTTTGTCATAGCCAATGTTGCTGGTGGAGAGTATCACTATTCACAAAGAAAGTGAAAACTCAGTAAAAGTATGGAGACGATGTACTAGCAAATTACTGATTTTTTTAGTACCACATCTTCTGAACGCAATTTGCTTCTTAACCTCTGCAAAAATCGCTTCAGAAATAGGCGGTAAAACTTCAACAGCTTTGCAGTGACGAGACATAGTTTTGTTCCATTCTCATTTCCTATCAAGGTGAATGGAAAATAAGTATGTCAACTGGGTACACTTGGCGATAGAGCAAAACCAAGCTACCTCCGGTTGTTTCACGGACTACCACCTGCGCGCACCTCCTGCCAGGTACCCTTTGCTCGTAACTCGGCATCCATGCAATCGGCATTCTGGCTTAGTCAGGTTTACCAGCTTCGAATACGCCCAAGCAGAAAAAAACGTGCAATTCTAGAGAATTTATTCAACCAGTATTGAACCACCGAATACATAGAAATGAAATGCGATTGAGCCGGGATAGAGGCAAGTTTCACGTTCGGAAACTCGTATGACAATGAAATCAGGAAGGATAAGTGTATTTGTTGAAAACTACCGGTTACACTCCTCGTGAATTATCATAAATACACACAACAAGGATAAATTCATCAACATTTCGCATGGTCGCGATTTACTGCTAGACTTCTTATTGGAGCACGAGAAACCAAGCAATACCATCATCAGTCCTGAGCTCCATCAATGTTCTTTCTGATCCATTTTTTCGAGCTTGTTCTCAAACGTATTCAAAGCGCTGTTCGTTTCGTCCTGTTCTGCAAATTTGAGCTGAGTTAAGTTGAGCTGAGTTAAAAGTCACAACTTCAAAGGAATCTTCCACGGAAAAAGCTCCGCCCTCATTACCACAGAAAACGATACCTTAAAGGAATCTTCCACGGAAAGAGTGATCATTTTGTCTTGTGTGTAGTATTATCGAAACTAACGCTTATGTTCCGTTCTTTTTGCTATGCTCATGAGGCTAGGGGCCTAAGGGTATCTTTTCTGTGGTAATGGAGGCGGAGCTTTTTCCGCGGAAGATTCCTTTAAGTTCAAGGAATGTAATCAACGGAAAAAACTGTAAGGAAACGACTATTTCAACCAAGCCCGCTAGGATAGAGGTGAGCATTCCAGAAAGCAGCGTATGAGTGTATCTCAAAAAAAGTCTTAAAGCTCAGAACGAACATGACCCTACTTCTGTGATGTAGCGAATAACCAATGGAACTGAAACGGTACAATAATCGGCGTTTGATCCAGTGCTCCACCACTGTTCAATTGTTCGCATGTCTGAGCAAAATCACTCACACGTTTTCAGCTGGCCATAGCTTCCCGAAGTATTTCATGCCTTTTTCACTACAGTGAGGAATTCAACTCTTCTTTGAATCAATAGTGATTCTAACTTCAGAATATGTATGCTTCAATTAATCAAGTAAGACTCACGTGTTAACAATTCTATCTGCTTGTACTGTCGACGTATCTTCGCCTTCAGGGCACAGTTCTCATCCCTTGTCGTTTCCAGTTCCATCAACGCACTACGGTATTGAGCTTCTATTGTTCCACCCAAGGCCTCCTGTAAATAGCAATCAGAATATTACCGTGCATTTTATTATTATTTGTTTTAGAATTCAATGGTTCAGCGGACCCTGCGAATGCGCGGAACTAACGCTGGTGAGAAGAAGAAGTGATTAGTGTTTACTTCTTTTTCGTCTGTCACACACAATAACATTGGCTTAGAAGTTGACTGAGGAAAACCATGCCAGCAAGCAGGGTGAATATCGGTCGAGGATTCCTCAACGGCACGTCGAGGATTCTTCGCCTGAGTTACGTTCTCCCGCGCGGACATTCACACTCGCCATGCGCGAGCCGTCTGTGCTCTCCGCGCATACGTTGCACTTTCGGCGCTACTTTCGCACAGAGCCATCGTCGAAGGTTTTTAAATATTTAGTGTTCAGCGCGACTAACTATTTCTCACGCTTACGAAAGTCATTAAAGGCAAAGTTCGGTTATGGAACTGATGTGTTGTTGCGCCTGCGAGTGGCAGTGGAGAAACCACCGAAAAAGTCAAGAATGAAACCCTCTCTTTAGTAGCAACAAGCGAAATAGCACCGATTTGTGGGCGGGCTCTGATTGGCGACGCCAATGCTGCATCCTAAAACCCTGGCGCCTCGGCCTTATCAAATCATTCCGAAGGTTGTAAACAAGGTTTAGAACTGCTTTGTCTAACGCCTTATAGACCGATTTCAAGGAATTCCTGGTGCTCACCTGCGTCTGAACGCTTCCTTCAAGTTGACGGATTGTTGTCATTGCTCTGTCCAATTCCACTTGTACATGGGCCAATTCATCACGAAGGCGCTCACGCTCCTGGTCGTCTGTTCCTCGGCGGGCATTTCTCAGAGCGTTCTCATGTTGGCAAGCTGCGAGCTTTTCCGCTGTTCGTTTCCTGAATGACCTCCTTTGGTTTTGCAGTTATTACATATTATAGCTGCTCGTTTTCCAAACTGACTATTATACGTGCTGTAATTATAATTGTTTACTTTTTGAAAGGTTTGGAACCCGGAAAACGTAACTTGTGATGAGGATTATGCTCATTCAGTTGATTTATGTGAAAAGAGGGAGTAAATTAGGCCGAAGGGAGTGGCTTATCATCTAGACGTCTTCTGCTTCTGATAACTGAGTGTGTGTCAAAACTAAGGGCTATGTACTCCTAGGTGAGGAGTGGGCCATTTGGCGGGTAGGTATAGCTTTGTCTATTTCAAAGATGGCTTCAAAAGTACACCTCATAATTCACTGTCTACACCGCCCAGTCAACAAAGTCGTGGAGGTAGAGCCGAACCTAGTTGATCTGTTTATCGAAACCTTTTATAAGCTGAACAATGTTCTGGAGGGAGGGGAAAAGGAACTCCGTAAAAGCAGCGACTATCGAATGTTCCGCTGCGATTCGTTCCTTGCAGGCATTGTCACGGTCTTTACCTCATGTTCAACCGTCGTACACACTAAAAGTTTTTGCGATCCCCCATCACCGCCATCATTTTCGAGGGCTACCCTAAAACGACAAACCTCCTCCCCTCTATCCCAATCACCACCCTCACCATCATGAGCTGTTTCTATAGCATTTAGTTCCAAGACATGTCGACACACCCAACTGCGCCTACTTTTTCTTCCAAAACCGTCCAGACCGCCGTTGAGCTGGTGGGGATGAAGGGGAGGGGAGGAACGGTGGGTTCGAGAAGAGGTTGATATCATAAGCAGCGAATTCCTAAATTTTATTTGTTCACCTTAAAAAGGATAAAGGATAAAGCATTTGCCGTTGATCAATCCCTTTTTGGGATGCGGCACGCATTCTACTTCCATTTGTACATTCGTAGTGGCGTTTGAATGCGATGTGGCCTATACAATGACTTGCGGGGGCCAGCCGATGTCAAGTCAGTGTTTTTTATCCTCCCAGACAAGTCTGGTACCAATTAACCGACCCCGGAGGGATGGAAGGCTTGGTTGGCCCGGGCGACTCACGACCCAGGATTTGATCCCCGGACCGCTCGCGTGGTGAGCGTGCCACTTGCCACTACACCACTCTCCCCTAGTTTCACCTTACTTCCTCGAAAATATCACACACACTCGCCCAATTCATCGAAACCCGTTTATTCCCGTCAAATATAATCACTACTTTAACCCCCTGACAACTTTCCTCGTACATACTTAACCTTGCCTGCTCAACTCCAAAATGCGGCCTCCCTTCCCAAATACACAAATGCGACCCCTTCGTTCGGGTACTGGCGAAAAGGGGTTGACCCTACGTCACCTCCCTATCAACTTAGAATACACAGAAATAAAATGAAGTAAAACAAGAAGTAAAGTGTATTAGAAACATGTAATCGTAGTAGTTGTCAGTAGGGGGGTTCAAAACCGCGA